TACATTGAGAAATGACTTATATTTTAGTCATATTTAGTTCAAATTTCACTTAGGGGTATAAGGACATTATTTTTTTAATCAAGTATAATGACATTATTTTTTTTGAAGGAAGTATAATGACATTATTGATTACATATGGATGTCAATGAAGTGGTTGAGTACGGTGTGTTTAGAGATTGGCAATGGAGTGGAGGAGTGGCAGTTAATAGGGTATAATATGTAGAAATTGCAGCCTAAAAAATAGGAGAATTAAATGTTTGATATTATCTTCAAAAATGTAAAGAAAATTAAAAATTAAAAATGGAAGGAAAGCATGAGATCATGAGCGTGATATAAGAAGGGCAAAGATGGGTATATGAGCAAATTCAGTCTTAAAAAAAAGAAAAAAATAAAAGGCTCTTATTTAGGGAAAAGTAATGTCTTTTAGTCTTATTTGCAGCAAATTTTACTTTAGATTTTTATGTATGAATTCAACGGAGTAATAGTAGTCTTAAATTTGTCACTAACATGCAATCATTCACAATTGTTAATTACTTCGTACTATAAATCTACTCTCACATTTCAAAAAAGATTTTGTGTCGCATATTAGAACAATTGGCTTAATATATTTATAATTTAATTAATATGAAAAGTTTTGGTAATTTTAAAAATAAAATTTATATATGTTGTGTTCCAACATTTTATTGTATTATCTAATGGTATTGTACAAGCTCAACAAAAAATGTGTTTGTAGTATATATGTTGTGTTCCAACTTGACACACATCAATGAGATATTGGTGGTATGAAGATTAATATAACATACAAGGACCATATAGCAATCAAGAAATGAGGACATTAATCTATAAATTAAATGTGAAGGACACTGTAAATTAAAGGCCAATGGAGATATTGGTAGCTGCGATTATACCCGCGCAGATGGACATTAACATTAAAGACAAGGACATTATGGTGGTATTCAGATGAATATAACATACAAGGACCATATAGGAATCAAGAAAGGAAGACATTAATTTATAAATTAAATGTGAAGGATGCGGTAAAGGTCAATGGAGACATTTGTGGCTGGGATTATACCCACGCAGATGGACATTAACATTGAAGACAAGGACATTATGGTGGTGTGGAGATGAATCTAACATACAAGGACCATATAACAATCAAGAAAGGAGGACATTAATCTATAAATAAAATGTGAAGGACGTTGTACGTAAAGGCCAATGGAGACATTGGTGGCTGCGATTATACCCATGCAGATGAACATTAACATTGAAGACAAGGACATTATGGTGGTATGCAGATGAATCTAACATACAAGGACCATATAACAATCAAGAAAGGAGGACATTAATCTATAAATAAATGTGAATGACGCTGTAAAGGCCAATGGAGAAATTTAAAATAACATAAACCATAATGACGATGCACACAATATGTAAGATTAAGACATTTTGCTAAGAATATGGAAGTTATTATAGAAATATATCAAGAATATATGTATGCCTTATTTGGGAATATTTCAAGTACATGTTCTATCTCTAAAATTAACTACAAAGAATCTCCCATCATCGTCAATAACTTGAAATTTAAAGAAACAAGTTGGTGTAACTATTATGATTAAAATAAGGACAAATTGTAATACTCACACTATGTGGTGTATAATGTCTACAATAGTTTATGGAAGGATAATGAAATAAGAAATGTTACTTTCTCCGTTCTAAAATTGACTTTCCAATTTGACCTTCTTAGTCAATTTTTTTGAATTTTGATCGTATATAATGGAAAAATTACATTGATTTCTCATATAAATTTAAAATTAATAGATTCATTTTAAAACATAGTTTTAAATTTTTTTATTTTTGGTATATATTTATATATAAATAAAAATATTAACGATTAATGTGTTGCATTAAAGACTGTGAAAAGTCAAATGAGAAATTAATTTAAGGCGAATAAAGTATTTAATTTAAAATATAACGGAGACCAACAAGAACTTAATAAAAGTTAATTATATCAAATTATATATACTCCGTATGTACTAAGTTATTGTGGTCACCTTTTATTTTTAGAACTTTTGATTTTTTTTAGATGTATAAATTTTATATTTTAAAATTTTACTTCAGTTTTCATACACATGAAATTAAAGTTAAAAGTACACCATAATTGAAATCGGCATATTAAAGTAAAAAACAAGATTTCTAAATAAAAAGGATAAAAAAAAAGGAGAAGATGGGTCGATAAACTTGGAAAGAGTCTGAAGATAATAGAATTTTTTCATTCCCTAAAGTTTAGGAGTAATAAATGATTCATTAAATCCTAATAAATTAAAGAAAACCATAAATGAAAAATAAAAAACAGGAGTTCTAATTCAGGGGTAAAAATGGAACAGCCTCCCGAAAGAAGTCCTATTGATTGGAAAAAACTTAGTTGCTCCTATTTAGAGAAAGCAAACCACTTTAAGTCTTAAATACAACAAATTTTACTTTTATAAATTGCAAGATCCTCTTCAAGCTCAGAAAGTTGTTCTCAGTAGGAGCATGCATAAATGACAAACATAGTTCACAACAAATTGAATACCAGGGCGAGTGGTAGTGAGATATTGGAAACCTCCGACAAGACTGCGGAACAAAGTAGGATTATGGAAGGGTTGATCCCCCCCTCCCGCCCAAGTCGGCCGACCAAACTATTTTGATGCAAGAAAAAATATTGATTAGTTGAGCCAAGACTTAGAAAAATAAATGTGAGTTTGTTTTTAATAAGATCCTAAGCCTTTTGCCTCGTGCTCAAAAGACTTCAACGTCTTTCCTTGTGTTTTTTGTTCCTTAAATAATTCTTGTCATCGCATTTAAACATTTTCACTTCATTCCATATCCACAGTGGTTTGTGAATAATAAAACCTACATAGAATAAATATTGGCATTACCAAAATGTCAATGTTAACGCCTATTCCATTACAAATAATTATTATTACTATTATTATTATAATTATTTTAGTTGTTGTTGTTGTTTATAAAGAATAGTGACACGTGTATTTTATCAAGTAACATTTTTCTATTGTAACATTTTCTAAAATCTAAGGGGGTGTTTTCCTGTGATGGTGCTTATTGGCTTATATTGTTCATAAGTAGCTTTTAACTTATACGAGTTTAAAAGCCAAATATTCTTTCATGCAAGTAAAATGCCTTATGATAGATAAGTCATTTGGGCATATTTATAAATGGTGAAGGATAATTTTGTAAATAATCTAATTAAAATGAAGAAACGAAAAAAATTAGCTCAAAAATAAGTAAGACCTACTTATTTTCTCTAGCTTAAGTAGCTTATAAGTCAACTTATAAGCACAGAGAAACATGTCATTTGGTAATTTATAAATTAAAAATTGCTTATAGTACTTTTGACCATCTTATAAACACCTAGAAACTCCCACTAACTTTACACATTAAATTCATAATTTGCACTCAAAAGTTATTAGTTCCTACACCAATTTACAAGGCGTTACAACCTGTCCACTACAAAAGTTTAACAAACAACACATTTTGGCCAGTTCTCTTTAACAAAGATATGCATTGCCTTTGCATCATACTTCTTTTAATATCTAAACCCTAGTTCTGAACACTTCATTCCAATTATCATTAGAGAAAATTCTATAAAGAGTATCTATTGAGAACTCTTACTTTAAACTACATTTCAACACCTTCTTCCACATCAGCCTCCCTAACCATCAAGTGTCATAGCAGAGCTGAAGGGAGAAAAATCTAGATAATGTCGACCTTTGTCTTGATCAGCGGAACCTCTATAAGCGCATAAAATGAGAACATATTTCATATGGAGTAAATGTGCCTCTCAAGCATTGCTACCAAGGTCGATGTATCAGCTAGGGTGATCACGTATGTAAGTCAACCTGACCCATCATTCCCGACCCTTGATCGGTGATGATTTGGGGAGGAATCTACATTATTTTTTTATCAATTTTTTGACCTGGAGAGGGCCTTCAGTGGCGTTTGGAATTCTGACATGTCGTGCGGTCGTCTTCTCTGCTTGATATCGTACCCATTGTAGAGTAGACCACATATACATTCTTTGTTCTCATTATAGAGATTCAATGGTTTTTGAGATCGACGACTTAGGGTGGAGCGAGTTACTATCAATTTGTACAGGAGTCGAAGAGGTAGAAGAGAGAACAGATATCGAAATCACTTCGAGTGGAGCAGGTTACTATCAATTGAGTCTCATCCAATGTCGTTTCACCCATCCTTATTTTTTATTTAAATTAAAAAATGGAAACCCGTTAATGCTTCTTTACTTGGCCTTCTTTTTTATTTTTTAAAGAGGTGTGTCAACATTAAACGTCTGGATATTTTGGTCAATTTACACTTATAGGGTAGTTCGACAAATATGAAACCTTTTCCAAGCATTTTGATAAATACTTCATAAACAAGGGTGTGGTGGTAATCGAATCCGAAGATAAAACAAAAACTAGTGCCAAAACCAGCAAAGACAATCGAATTGAGCAAAGTACAAAAGAATTTCGAAGGTGTATTGTTTCAGAAGTTAGGTTGTGGCAGTTAAGAGTGGAAAGATTTGGCAAACGTCATTTTCTTCCTTCCAATCTGGTTCTCTCACTTCAATGATGACTTACTGAATGATATGATTATTTAATTTTTTTAAGAACAAGCCCCAACCTATGTCCTTTGAAATCAATTTTGATCTTTTTTGTCAACTGAATGATACAATTCCTAAGAAGACTCTTATGAAGCCTTTTTCATATTATGGACTATCATTCGATGAATATTTATATTAATGTGTGGTCAGAGCTCATGAAATTGACCTTAAAAAAATCAAATAGATTAATGCATAAGCACAAAGAATAATGTTTGAGTGAACTCCCAAAATGACCCGTTAACAATACGAGTACAACTCCTTTTTAAGGACACAAGGGTAATGATAAATAAAATGAAATGAAAGGTTGGCATAATCATTGTACAATTTGCATAACTAGCTGCCCAATTAGGTTCAATATTTTCACCATCTTCCCTTCCAAAATGTGCCTCAGGCATCCAACATTTTCCTCTACCTCATTACCAACTCACAACTAACTTACCAGCAAAAAATAATTTGTATGCTCTTGGAATGAGTGAGCCCATAAAGACAATATATATTATTCTCATTTGCCTCAGGTTTTTTTCAACATTTTTAAAATATTCTTGCAAGACAATTTCTTTGCTGCAGCTTTGTTAGGGGCGGTGCACGAGTCTCGGTACATAACACTGCCGTTGCCATCCTCCACCTCCATTGTGAGGGTTGTGACTTCATTTTCAACAGTAACAGAAGGCTTCTTCATTATATAATTCCTACTTCGACACAGTTCGTATAACTCCCTTACTGGATGGAGAGTCAGAGTTTCAGGCGTAACCATCGGCTCCAAAAGTGGGATTATGCATCCATAAACTCTGTCCTTGTTGAAACCAGAATCAATGAGAATTGCCCCTGCAAGAGACTCAATAATATCTCCCAGCACCTACGAATGAGTAAACACCCAAGCAATAGACAGAAAACATAACAAACCGTCACGAAGAAATACTAAGACAAAGGTATGCTTTTTTTTGAACATGCATATACCTTTGGGAAGTTTATCTCTGATTCCCATCCAAAAGTTGAGGAAACACACAACTTCTCAACTCTTTCCACAGTGTCTGCAATATGCTTTTGAAGGACGGTGGAGAAATAGAGAAGTTGTTTATGTAATCCAGCCTTGACTGCGCATAGAGCATAGCAGTCGTTGTTCACAGAACAAGACCTCAGGTCCGTTAATAAACCAGGAGTCAATCCAGGGTGCTTATAATACAGATGGACTGTAATAACATAATCCAACACTGCATCCCCAATAAACTCAAGACGCTGCATAACACAAATAGCATCCATTTGATTTGCTTCGGGAAGCATAACAGTGAAGAAGCTAAAGATTTTGGTTCTTGATTAATAATTCAATGTGAGGGCATGAAAAAATAGATATTACCTGATAGCATCGTGGGATATCAGATTGCATGAAGGAACCGTGAGTGAGCGCTTCAACAAGGAGCGAAGGATCACTGAATTTATACTTGAGCAACTTTTCTATGTATGCTATGTTGACAAACTTTTCAGCGCTTATGGGGAAGTTCCTTTCTATGGGAACTCTCATATGATACTGGATGTCTAATCCAAGCCATGCCATAAATGATAAAGCCGCTACTTCTCCAACAGTACTTACATATGCACCTATAAGTGCTTCGACTGCATCAGCCACTCTCTTAGCCTTTATGTTTTTATGCCCCATGCTATACATTTTCCTCGCAGGAGATGTGAACTCGACAACAAAGTTCTTGTCTGGGGAAAAATCTCCAGGGATGGCCCATGTTTTTGGATCAAATGGTTCAGTGCGAATGAATCCCTGCATTTTTTTATGAGGAGCATGAAACAATCCCTTCGAAAGAACATTGAGACGGAGATATATTATGAGTGTTAAAGACATACTGGAATGTTTCTGTCACATGCCAGCTTGCACAATGCAGCATTTGAAACCATTTTTTCTTTTTTCAAACTAAGAAGCCCCTCGTGAGCATTTTGATATGTTGTGAATAGTTGTTGACCCACAGCGTACTTAAGAAACGAGTCTCCCAACGTCTCTAAAGTCTCCAAGTGAAAACTTTCTAGACACTTCTTGCTAGTTGTTGCTTCCAAGATCTAACAGGTTTGAATGGATAACCAAAAGCACAAGTCATTACACGAGATAGAAAATGAAGAGATGTGTACACTCTAACTGTATCATACTGTAAATGGTTGCAGATGTCTGTTCTATTGAGACAAACATATGTTGAGACTTGAGAGAGAACGTTTCCCCTCTCTTATGCATAAAGTGCTACGAATATTGAATTGTTAAAAGAAATAAAAATATGATAACACAATGTCATACCTTGGAGGTTGGTACATTCACATTTTGTGTGCAGTGATCCATGTGCATTTTTTTCAAGTTGACAGCTAGTAGCAAGGACTCTATCCGATGCATAATTGATGGGACATAGGTGAAGGAACATAACATATCATATGGTATTGGAGACATTATTACTGAACACAGTTCCGGAGGCAATTCTACTGATGAATGGTGTGGTTCTATGAAGGAACATAAAGAGTAACTCAAGTTAAATGCACTTCTTGTGAACCTCAGCACGAATGAGAGAAAGTTGTGTGTGTGTGTGTGTACACACACACACACACATATGTTGAAATTTAAATATGTAGTATCTCGACAAATGAATCAATTTTAGCGAACATTATTATGGCACCAGATCACCAAGGCAAATGGGGCGGTTGTTAATTTGAGAGGCATACTTTGTGATAGGATTCGAACAAGCATTTAAATAAACACCAGTAAAACAAACCTAGTGCTGTCAAGATAGTACTCTATAACAACACTATGAACAATAGCAATAGGAAAATAATGATAGGAGTGATGAATGACAGAATAAGCAAATAAAAAATCCAAATGTCAACCTTTTCGTTTCTCAGTGCCGCCACATCTTTGAAGGAAATTTTGCACCGTAGGCATAAATCTCCCATTAAGAAGTGCTTCTCCGTCATATAGTAAATCAATGTCATGCCTGTAATCAGCAAGGGTTTCCATAATGTATATTGAGTGAATCTTATAAATTATAATGTCACTTTTATTTGGAATATTTGCTTAAAGGCATACCGTTCTTTAAAATAATATTTGTAACTTATGGATTTTCCTTTTCTCATCTCCAAAGTTGAATTTCCATTCAAATTGTGCAAAATATCAGTAATATAGTATAATGCTCCATTATGCGGTGTGCATATCAGAGAGTTCTTCAACCTGCAGCTACACACCAAACCAGTCTTTGTATGCATAGGACTACAATCATGCATAGGGAAGCAATTGGTGTGGTTATTCTCGTGTTTTCCAGAAGGAAACACAGAATCAACCACGCTCCAATTAACTAAAGGATTGCCACAACTGGAGCCGGAGGAAGGGAGAATGAGATAATCAAAGCCTATAATGCCCTTTATATTACAACATCTGTCCATAGCTTCAGCTAATTTATTCAAATCCTTGTGCATAAGCGCACTTAAGAGAATAACTTGAAACATCCGGCAACTTTTTATCTGGAAATAGGAACCATCCATGACCAACAGAAGTTAACCCATCCAGTATTATCATTTATTCTATTTAGTAGTAATTGGTGGGTAGAATTACACAAACCTTTTCAGAAGTTAGAGTCAACTGCCCAACATAAAAAAGCTGTCCTACCCTTACATCCCCGTCAACATTCAGTTCAAAAGTCAACTTCTCATCACCAAACTCAAGCTTCATCTTCACAGCAAGGGTGATATTCTGAAGCTGAATATCTTTATATGAGTACTGACATAGCTCAATAAGGTAGCAATAGAATACTGTTTCAGAATCATTGTTATGACAGCCGATCAACTCAGGTGGATGATACCTTGGCTGGCCATCGCTGTACTGCACACATCCTGTACATATATGCAAGTGAATAGTCAGAGTTTATCCAAAAAAAATTGCAAAACATTATTAAAGAGTTAATAGTGCTAAAAAAGATTGTCTTTAGTAGTATGAAATGGTGAACAAACAGATATTGTTGAGAACTAGAATGCTAGAGCAAAGATGCCATTATTAAGAAAATTGCCTGTCTCTTGGATGTCCTCTTTTTCCTCCATAATATCAGGTACAAGATTGTCACTCAAGGCACCAACTTGATGAAGCTGTTTACAAGCTTCAAGACATGCCAGTTGCTTCAAGATTTTGACATCTCCCTGAACCTCAACTTTTTTTATATGACAACTTTTGGGGAGATGGAGGACGCAGGTTTTGGCATCTTTGTCTATATCATACCTAGGAGACGGCGCAAAGTACCTGCAAATGAAAATTTAACTAAACACAATTATTCCAATTAAGACGTGCAATGAATATGCGCTTCAAGTGTGAACTGAAGATGGTGACAGACTGATCAGATGGTAGCCTTGAACAATAGAGGTTAAGCAACGACACACTGGATCTCAAATTAACAACTGCCCCAGTAGCTTCTACTTTGTAAGAATATTCATCATATAGTTCACGGTGAAGAGGCGAGCATGGCTGGGAAGCATGAGATAAAGATTCTTTCCTCATTATCTCTCCACTTGCAAGAAAATTAGTTACTCTATCGAGGGTAGACTTGTCCCCGCTGAAAATATAGAAAAAAATAATGCATGGAGGATTAGCAGACTAAACCATTTCACAAGTACATGTTTGTTATCCTTTGAGTCATGTCTTGTGAAGCTCAAATTTGACAAGGCAATAAAATATAACAAAAACAACCAAAAACAGAAAATAAAATTTTGATTGGACTAAAAAAGATTCCAGTTAGAAATCAGTCTGGGAACACGATCGAGAAGAATACAAATCACAGTATGAAACCCACCTTCTTACCAATGATATAAAATGTGAGTTCTGCATTCGAGCGCGTCCACGTGACTGTATAAAGCTAGAAACTGTTGCAGAGGGATCAAATCGGATTACAAGGTTGCAGCTTTGAACATCAAGGCCTTCTTCAAGAATAGAGGTTGCAACAATAATGTTAACCTGCTCAAATTTTGGTGCTCAGAATCTCGAAGTTTATTTAATTGTAAATGAAATATATGAGGTGTTCTCTACCGTTCCCTTTCGAAATTCGTCAACAATCGTATTCTGTATTGTCCTACTTTGAGCCTGCAACCTAGACGCGTTTCCTGCTGTGTACTTGGTCTGCCATCCAGTTAACTTCGGAAGCACCTCATTCAATAGAGATGGAAGGACAATTGCTGTAATAACCCTTTCAACAAAAATGATACATCTCAAGTCCTTCAAGGGCCTGCTCAAACAAACATCATGGAATGCATCTTAAAATCCTTATAAGGGGCATTAGTAGAATCAGTGCTTTTCCTAGGCCCATATCATGAACATTCTTGCGTCTATTTGCCAATGGCTCTACGAGTCATTTTTTACACTGTTTAAGCTTCAGGTAAATGAAAGACTATAAATCAAAGGTCTAACAGAAACACCACTTTTTTTTCACAGTAGCACTCTTTGTTAGTTGGCCCTACATCTATAGGGCTGAGTATCCCACATCGTTTACGTGAACCTCACTTTCCGAGGATACTTTTGGGATGAGACGGACCCAGTTTAATGTGGCATCATAACATGGCCCTTTGGTGGATTGTAGGGCTAATTTGTTCACCTTTCAGTTGTCTAACCCGGATTGGATTGAACCTGAGGAGGTCGGTAGAGTGACCCAAATTAAATCTCTACTAATGGAAGATTATTTTTAGGGTGAGTTAGAAGTACCTGTAATCAAGAAGAATCTCTACTAAAGACAAGACCTTTGAAGTAAGATATCCAGCGTCCATACCAGCTTGCAGATCATTACTGACATAAGATTGTGCACCTATATTTACAGTAAAGGGGCAATAAGATTAAAAGATCAGAAAAAAAGAGATTTTAATCTTAATACCAAAATATAATGGCCTGAGCCTTATTACCGTTAGGCATCTGAGCAGAGAAAATCTTCGCCGCATCTAAACTAAAACCTCTGATAATGGTTTCAGCATGCAAACTCAGTGTGCCCCATTTAAAGATGTCTTTGTCCTCACAGGAAAAGGACTCGGCTGCCTAGTAGTCAAGACAAATTTCATTGGAACAAAAATGGATCGTCGAGGTAATAAACAAGGGTGCAAAATGCAAGTGACAGAAACACGAGAACATTTTACCTTAAATGCCAAAAACACACCAAGCTCAGTCAAACAATATAAGAACGTCGACAAAAGTTTTGATAATCTTTTCTTTACAGATTCAGCGGTTTCCTCTGATAGATCAGCCTCAGTGATATACTTCTCACGCTGAAGCAAAGGACAAATTATATGCCTTTTAGATGCGATTCCGGAGTCAACACAAAGCAAAATTATGGAAAAGACCACATATTATTGTGAATTATGAAAATGCAAGAGAAGATAATTATACAGCATAATTATTCTAAGCGGCTGTATGTTGATACATACCTCATCTTTCAATCTATGCAAGGCATTGTGTAAGCCTCCGAACATTGCAGAAGGAACATCAATATCATGGTATGTCCTCACTTTGGAAGTAGGAAACGGAATGTATGCAGCTAAAACAGAATCACTAGCACAAGTATAGACCTTCATTTCACAGCAGGTTTTCATCAGTTACCCATTACTTCTAAGTAGCATAGCTACATAGAACTAGACAAACTTCATATGCCATGAGAATATGGGATCAATAAATATATATGCGGAAAAAACGAAAAGATAATTCATGATCAGATCATCCTCTAGAACTCCATAATATATTACTCTAACATAACTAGACTAACCAAAACACTGTACTATCTCTGTCCCATAAAAGTCATTTTTCCCAATTGTACAACTCTTAGATTTTAGTAAGGTAAAAGTGTACAAGTGCAAGTACACTGTTGAAAATCATCAAAGGTAGCTATATATACAGCTTTGTGGTTTGCTTAACAGAATTTAACACACTCAACTTTTTGGAGAATATTTATATAAAAAAGCATTCAATTTGGTGAATACTAGATTCTTTTGCTCAAATTCGACTCTTTTTACAGCAAATCTCTATCTGAAAGGTAACTTAAAACAATGCACGCATGGTCTGTCAAAAAATGAAAAACATGTTTACACCATAAATTTCAAAATTTGGAAATTAGGAAGCTGTTATCCAGATTTAAAGTTTCCTACCAAATTTTGAAAATACTTTATTAAGTATCCAAAATGGAAAATATGGAGTATTTCATAACTAACTATTTAGCAATTCTGGTCAGTTGATTTAAAATGTGCTTTATAAAAACTTCTTGGAGAAACCTAATTGATGTAGTTTCTATGATACCAACAACATGACATAGAAACCTAATTGATGTAGTTTCTATGTTTTAATAGAGTACAATCCTAGATGACGCTTTCTTCAAAATTACTGAAAGAGATGTAGAGAGAGAGAGAGAGAGAGAGAGAGAGAGCCTAATAGAACCTTTGAATTCATAAGGTTTTCTAGGGCACCAATCTCTATCCAGTAGTCATCTCCCGAGCTTGAACCTATTTGAACAAAGATCATCAATAACAATTTCAATAACTTTGGATAATAAAAAACACCTATGAAGGGTGTTACATTAACCTTTTGCCTTTATAGGGGAAGCAGTCATCCCAAATATTCTTGGAAGCTCTACATTTATTGATTGTAATTGGCAATGGTAGAATTCCTAGTCATGAACAATAAGCGGAAAAATGAGTTGAATAAACTAGAAAACAAGAAATATCTTAAACAAATAGTGCAATACATTTACTATTGATATAAAATTAGTGACCAAGAAACGAAACAGTAAGCGTTCACCAAAAACAGAAGTAAACAGCATTGACCAAAACCTATAACATTGTGGTGTGAGCATTGTTTTTTGTAAAATTACAAAGGTATATATTTCAAGTAGGGAAATAACATAGGGAGACAAATAGAAAGGAGTAGAGAAGGGAAAGATAACTCGAAATAAAATAAAGAACAGACTCAAACTCGATCAATTTTTTAGATGTTTGTTCAAATTCAATTCATATTTCATCTCCATTATGTATAGATTAAGATATCTAAATACATGTATGGAGATTATGAATAATATTGAACATATTTCATTTTGAAGGTAAAACCTAACATAAGAAAATAACTAACCATTGCATTTCTTTTCGTATTCGCTAGCATATTCCAGTTTCCAAAGTCCAAACATACCCTAATATTTCCGAAGAACAAGAACGTAGGCCAACATACCCTAATATTTCCGAAGAACAAGAACGTAGGCTAACTTGAATTGCCAAGAAGAAGTAATAAGGTACCATTCACAAGTGAAAACAAACATACTTAGGCAAGGCAATCAAAGACCCTTTGGACATAACCGTACCCTCATAATACATGAGTAGGGATGTTTGCCTCTTGCATTATGGCACTCATCAAATATGAGAAGCTTTATCATCTCAATTTTAAGAAAGCTGTGCCTTAAAGCAACAAGCAGAATTGCCGGTGTCATCACAAGCACCTAAGACATGAAACCACCCACACGCGTTAGTAGCAAATAACTGTTACGGAGTGTAACTTATACTTCCTTTGTTCCAATGGTGTTAAAGTATTCTGACCTCATAAAGCTCCACTTGGCGATTCCATATGTTTGCATCCCAGAAATCAACACCCATTTCTCCCCAATATTTTCCCACTTTCAAGTCTGTGTGCTTCTTTATAGCTTCACCTTGCTGGTAGTTTAATTATAAATAACACGAAAATAAATATAACCATCCAAAATGGGGACATGTTTCAGAAGTTTAACAGAAAATTATGAATGAACCTGTGGAAATGAATTTTCATTTGATTCATATCATTATATCTAACCAAAACGTTGGCTTTTTCTATACATTGAAAAAACGAATGAATATGGACATACATTATGCCAAATCAAGAGATTCAAAAACTTGTTAAAACTACTTATTATCACTACTAATAAGAGATTCAGCATTACCTGAGTAACCAAAACCACAGTAGGAACCAAGAAGATAGCAACGTAAGGAGAAGGCTTCCGAATGAGATGGCCAAAGCTACGCAAGAGCATAATGGCTATAAGTGTCTTTCCAGAACCAGTCTCCAAGAACACAATCGTGTTCTGCTTCATCGCTTTCTCCAATGCTTCCAACTGATAACTGACCCCCAAAGTCCAACACACCCAAACGCAAAGTGATTTTACCGTTATTACGATAATTATTAAAATTAAAGCATCATTAACAAAATTTCCTCCATTGTCAAAGAAGCTAAAAGAGTCATTTAAATACAACCACTTTCTCTTCCGTTAAACCGACTAAACCAAAATGGCACATTATAAACCTCTCTTGCTTGTTTCTTTCTATGATGTTTTTGGGCATTAAATGCAGAATTGGAATTACTATACTGCTTTTGGTAGTGGTGAAATGGGTATTCAAGAAAACTAATTAAAATGAATGAAGTGGTTCTTGTAGATTGATACTTACGATCTAGCGAAAGGCAAAGCGCCCGGCATCAGTTCTTGGACTTGATCACCATGAGCAGGCTTAGCCACTGGCTTCATTGAAAGATTCAACATTGTATGTTTTCCTTCCTTCCCTAATGTAATTAAGGCAAAGGCAAAGGTGGCAAAGCACAAACTGAAACTTTACTTGCTTGTTTGCAACAGCATATGCTCTTTTGAACGACTAATGCGAGAGCATATTCATAACTTGTTCTTGCAGAAACTAAACCCCTCAAAAAAGATTCTGCAAGAGATTACATTTAAAAGGGTTTTGCACTCAAAAATGTCTAGAGGTGTAAATGATGAACACATGGAACGTTGGGTTGGGTTATTATGTAAAAAAAGAAAAAACAGAGTGCTCAGTAAATATGAGAATAACTTTTTTACAGTCATAGACTGACAGTCTTTTATTTTAACACTAAATGAACCAAACTGGAATAACGAGAAACTCCCCCGGCCGGTAGATGACGCTATCTTTGTTCAAACAAAGATATGAACGAACGAACCTATTGGTCAGTCAGTCTCTGAAGAACACAAAAGGTGTGAACCAGAACGAATCGGCGGGATAAATTAGGATTTTAACAGGAAATATTACTGAGATGAAAGACTGGATATATGGGTAAATTCGAATTGGTGTTTTTTTCGTGAAAGACCGAACCAAATCCAAGTACGACGAATTTGATTGGTCTCGGAAAATGGTTTGACTCGTCTTTTTAGAAGAAAAAAATGAGTATCAAACAAGATTTAAAATGTGTTATATATGCATAAATCATAAATGAGAACTTAGATACTTTTATACTAAAATCAGATTTATAATCTTATAACACATAATGCGAAAATATATTGTAAAATAATAACTTACGATACCAGATTTTTCCTATTTCGCGATTTCGACGATTCTATTTACAAAATAAAAATATTGAATGTAAATATTATTTTAGTATAAGTTTTATTTTTTGTCTTGTTTAGGTATAAAGTAGAATATGGAGTATTACCAACCAAACAATTCGACCAAGAAGTGAGAATAAAATTTCAAGAGTATCAATGTGAAGAAAAGAGAGAGAGAGAGACGGGCACAAGTACACAATATTGCTTGATTGATTTTGTTTTAAGAAACATTAAACTAAAATAGCATTTGATTATTTACTAATAAAATAACAACGGAATAATTCTTGTATTGTGTGTCTCATTACAAGAAAAATGTTGAGCTTAAATAACATCCGTCCCATAAAACACTTCTCATTTCTATTAAAAAGTCACTTTTACCCCTTACTTTCTCATACACTACCTATCACATCATACCTTTTTACTAATAATCTACCCATCAAATTCTACTTTTACCCATCACATCAAAGGACATTTTTGGAAATTCAATACCAAAATACACTACCCTTAAATCTCTTCAAAAAGCAAAAAATCTCATGTTTTATGGGACGGAGGGAGTATTAGACTCCCCCTAAATGCAATAATAATAATATCTTGTAATTTGCAGTTTCATGAGGACTCGCTGGATTTTTTTACTCTTCCAAATTTAGCAGTATAAATATCATTAATATAAAAACATTTCACATCATTTATTTTTTAATTCTATTTTATTTATCAAATGCGTTCTTTCTAAAAATAATTCTAGCTAAATGTATGGGGATTGGTGGGGGAGGACTATAAAACAAGATGGAAATTATTGGCGCCAGAAAATGATGAATTTATATGAGTTGTGCGTTTTTACCGTTTTACCGAGGAGAGGATATTAACCATCCATCAATTTTACTGTGCCAATATGACAGAGCTTTTCTACTCCCCATGCTTTTAAAGTTGATGTCAGAGGTCCATCTCACTTTTGCATGGACATATTCTCTTGAATTGGTATGGTTCTAAGCATATACGGACTTATATCTAATTCGAATCTATGGACTATTTGAGTTTTCTATTCGCCATATTTCCTTTTTTTTAAAATAATTAGGGGAGTGTGTCTATTCGTACATTTCATTAATTATTTCATAAAATCAAATATTCTTGACACCTCTTATTTCAAAAAAAATTCATATACCTAAACAAGACAAATGAATTAAAACAGCTTGATATTTTGCCTCGTTTTTTGAAATGTAGTTAACATTTAGAGACGAGAATATTACAAAAGCAAATTTAAATACTCTATAGGTAACAAATTTTCAATGAAATTTTTAGGTAAGATTTGATTGATATTCGATTATTTAACAAGTTCTAAAGAAATACTACCTCTGTTTTAAAATGTTCTTCCCAAATACTATTCACACTGTCAAATTGTAATCACTTTGTTCATTTATTTTCGTTACTTATTTGATAAAACAATATAGTTTTATCACATCTTGTTCTGTAAATTTTTTGATATAGTTTAAAATATATAAATTTTATTTTTAAATTTTACACCTACAATCAAATAAATTGATTTGAAAATAAATTTGGTCAAACCTCGTAAACAGAAATGGAAAGAACACTTTAGGACGGAGGTAGACATGGCGTACTCATTTCTTCCAGAATTAATCGTCTTAGTTTGACTCTACAGAATTCAAAAAAAAATCTTCGGAAGTAAAAAGTGAGTGGTTAAAATTTGACTAGAGAAAGGAGAAATATTATGGATCAAATATTTTTTTTGTTCTAGACTTTATTAGGATAATAAAGAAGTGAAACAATTATTTCTGTGACGGACTAAAAAAAAGTGAGATGATTAATTCGGGACAGAGTAAGTACAAAAAAGTTATGCTTTCATGATCGTAAAGTCTTCATGAAATGTGGACATTCTCACATTTTTCATGGATGACATGAAAATCTTTTGTTATTTAAAGAGCAGAATTCATCCAATGCATTTATATACTAAGGTCCATAATCCATAAAATGAGTGTGGACCTTATGACCACAGAAGAATTTGCTAGTACCGAAATTACTACCTCCGCCCGCACAAAAAATTAGTTTTTTCATGTTGGGCTCTCGATAACGTTTAATTGTATATTTTTATTGATAATTTTATAAAATAAAATATTTTTATCACCTCTTATTTATAAAACATTTGATGTACTTTTTAAATATATAATTTATATTTTTTATTTTTATATCAATTTATAAATATAGCAATTGTAAAAGAAATGGAATTTTACACATTTAAAAGGGGAAATTTTTGTGGACATAAACTGAGAAAGTAATCATCAATATTTGTGTAATGGACGAAAATCGATTTGAACATTTTAACTTGCATTAATTTTTATTTCCTCTGTTCCAAAAATGTTTTCCATTTTGATTTCAAAATGGGTTTGGGTAAAAGAATTTTTGTGTGTATTTATTCAAAAAGAATTATCTTTTGTTGTGCGTAGATTATTCATAACGAAATATTTATTAAATAATGTGAATTATTCAATACTTATTTAAAAAAGAAAGGATAACCTTTGGTGTCTCAAAAAATGCGTAGTACCCTTCATATTCTATATATTGCAACATTTCTCCTCATATGATGTGTAAGTCATGCTCTCTTCACCTGATTTATTAGGTTTGATTTGATTGGAATAAATTATGATTTAATTTGATCTAGTCTGATCTTAATGACTGAATTAAGTTCTATTTAAAGCTATTTTTAATCTAATCTGATTCGAATAAGTAATAAGTAAAAAAAAATAAGTTGAACATAATGTGACCATAGTACCCTTCATATTCTAAATATGCATACTCCGTAGTCCGTATTAAATTGTGGCGACTGTCAATGAATGCAAAGAGAATAAGGGGCAGTAGGGCACAAAAGTTAGAACGCAAATAAGTGGTTACAAAGAAATGTTTCAATAGTAGATTTGCATTGCAGGGCGGGTTACAATTGCAGAACTATTGCAACACCAGTCCAAAACCTCAACCAACATGGAATGGACTCTAATGACAACAAAATCATAATTCTACTTTGATACCACACATGACACCAAGTTTGACATCACTGTCAGAATAGATAGTCGTCACTCATAGATCCGCGTGTGTTTGTGATAGACTGATGATATCAAGCTTAGTGTCATGGGTGGTGTCACCGTAGCGAGACTCTAAGGATGTGCTAGGTTGGGGGAAATATTATTTTCGAGAAGAAAAGAATTGAAGAATTGTATTTTCCTTTCTTAATAATGTGAGGAGTACATGTATATATATACAACATGTCAATCCTAGTTATGGTAGGAGAGGTATTCTAGGGAAGCTATACAAGTATGGAAACAAATCATAATACAGTAATATTAAATATATTTAATATATTTAACATGCTCCCGGCTACGTCGGATGTGTTGGGGGTCGGATACCCAGGCTTTCTCTGAAGTCCAGAAATAAGAGAGAGGGCAGTCCTTTTGTGAAGATATCGGCGAACTGAGAGGATGAAGGAACATGGAGGACTTTGATCTGGCCAAGCGCCACTTTATCGCGTACAAAGTGTATGTCAACCTCGACGTGCTTGGTGCGCTGATGTTGCACCGGATTTGATGATAGATAGACAGCACTAACATTGTCACAAAAGACGAGTGTGGCGCGACGGAGTGGTTGTTGCAGCTCAAGAAGAAGATTCCG